TCTGCCATTTGCTGAGACAGAAATAGGTCACGTGGTGTTTCTTCCACGCAAAGGCCAGTCCAGTGGAAATATGCTATACCTATCTTATTCTTCTCTAATTTATACAATTTGAAATACCTAATCTAGCTTAAAGAAATTTACCAAAGCTCCAGACACAATACAAGAATATATAAACCTTATCCTGGTCTATTTATGTTTTTATTGTTAATGTAATATTTATTGTTTTTTATTTTTATTTATAAAAAAATACTCATTGATAGCTTTTTTAAACATTTTAAATGTTTGAACATTGTATTCACCGCTAATGACCTTGGCTGCTGATGCGGGAAATGATTTTAAATAATTAATCCTATCTTCCCTAATTCCTTCTACCCCAACAGGAGGGTTTGGCATCGCTAAAAACGGACACCGGAAACCTACACTGAGTGGGGTAACTGTCTCAGGAGCTTTCAAAAACACAGGCTGTGATATGCCAATTGTTGTTTCGTAGTTATGAAATAACAAATGACTAACTGCAGCAAAAAACTATAACACAACAATGTACAGATGAATGAAAAGGTTTACCCACTGGGCAATCAGTGATTCATGCCCTGTACGAATTCCAAACACTAAGGACTTCCATTACTTTTTAAAAGGAAATTGTGTAATATTCATTCGTTACATTGTACATTGTACCTTGTCAGTATTTTAGGAGCAACCTTTTTATCTTTTAATAAGAAATGTACATTTTTATATATAATATTGTACAAAAGAATCTAACCACAAGAATTCCTCCCGTCATTATATCATCAGATGCCGAATCCCACCTATCTTCACCCAATCTCTGTATTTCCCCCAGAAATGAAGGACCACAACACCAAATACCACTAACCATTATAGTCGAGGACAATTGCGTTGAACATACGACCGCTGGGTTCAGTCCCTACATATTTATGGACTGTTTCGTTACCCAGTTCATTAAGAGCAATCGCATACGTTACTGGTTTACTGTGGATTAATGAAACTTTTATTAGTATATGCCACTATGTAAATAATCAAGTGACCTGTGTGAACATCAAAAAAGCAATGAAGCAAAGAGAGATAAATATTACTGTGATATTGTAGTAATTTCTTAAGAATAAGGTGACTTCCGTGTAGATGTTTTAAAATGCATGAGTTGGAAATCCAAGCCTTCCCACGAGTATTAGCATTCGCAAGCTTTCGACCAGAAATAAATGATGCAGTTTTGCAACAAGAAAGGTAAAGAATTTATGAGATAAAAGCACCACTTGCATGAAGAGAAAAGAAACATTTGTAACAGTAAGTTTATATACGAAGGGCAGTTTAATGTGTTGTTGGCAATATAATAAGCTTAATGTATACCAACATGTGTTCATATGACTAGCAGCTTTTTGCACACACAGGGAAAGCTTGTGTTATGTCCAGCTGTAATCAAAACTGAAAATGTAGAAATCAGAATGAGAAACACTACGGGGCAAGATGAATTATTCTGATTATGCAGGTGATTATGTTCTCTGCAAATTTCAAGCGAAGATTGCAAAATCAGAATATCCAATAACTGTTCAGCGAAACTATTCATTCCCAATTATATATGTCGCCATGAGCCCCGTTTATGAAGAAGGAATGGATGTGGGGACATGTTTAAGTACAGAGAAGGATTAGTTTTGTGTATGGAGATGTGAGTCGGTTTTGAATAACTCATGATTTTTTTTGTGGACAATACAAACCCAAATCATTTAACTTTTACCCACTTAGAATAGCATAATGAATAGATAAAAAACAAAACAAAAAAAACTGAAAACATAACCATACTGGTTAAGATCAGGGTGTTTTATTACCTACAAGACTGCATGGTGAAGTGAATATCAGTGTCGCCAATAGAATACCGCTGGCCGTCGATGGTGCACACTGACACCCCCCAGTGGTCGGGGCTGAACCTCGTCAGCTGCGGGATGTAGGACGCAACCTGGACGGAGGAAACGAAAACAAAAGTATTAATCCACAATATTTCCAGACTTTTTCATTTTATATGGTGACAGTGCTCACAAAAACTGGATTCGGTTTCATACACATCAGTATTTGAAATGTCCACAGACAAATCTATGGCAATCACAATTCCTTCTTTACCCTATCTTATCATATGCATCTATTTGCCTTTACAGACACTATGGTACTTATTAAATTATTGCAGCTCTCCTCCTCTACGGCCTCCGCCAGTGCAGCCAGAGCCAAAAATACAATGTTGCCATGCAGGGGCAGAACCAGCCTCTCGGAAGGACAATTTGGGGTCACCACAGATTAAACAAGGACGCAAATTATCGCAATAAACTTATTGGTCATTCCTTTTGGGGACGAGGGAGCGGGAGTGAAATACCAAGGGGAACACTAATGCCACGGGTCAGAGGAATAAGCTATTCCCCTTCCACTCCTAAGGCTATGCCACCGACTTCATGCCATGCCAGCACTGCACGACTACACTTGATCTTTCTTCACAGAGCATGCAGACCACATGACACTAAAAGAGCTGAACCTTCCTGGATTCAGAAAAGAAAGAAAAGACCATGCACTAAAGGCTCATCCACAGGGAATGGCCCTTGAAGCAATGCTATACTTCCTAAGGCAGTAAGTGATCACTGTCGGAGCTAGGATACATTTGAACTTCATTTCCATTTGTTACATTCATCACGCAAAAGTTATACTTAGAAAAGCTTGCTTACATCTAGGTGTACAGTAAAGCATTTATCACTTGTAATACTCCAATCTGACTTTTACAGCTGTTCAGTTATATGATCATTGTTAAGCACATCTACATGGAATGTTTTACTATGTCTGAAAAAAAACTGATAATACTGATATATTTTATATTATATTTTATATTATCAAATGAATTACCACCTTATCATATATATATATATATATATATATATATATATATATATATATATATATATATATATATATAAACATCAGAATAGCAAAAGAAATATAAGTTAATCTTCCTAAATTAAGTCTTTTTAAATCTTCAAATACGGATTTCGTTTGTCTAGTCAGCACAGTTTGTTAGGCCTTTATCTTTACACATACTACTTTTGTAAATATTATTACAATAAAATGAGTATATAAAGTCTAGGGGATAAATGAAAACCCACTTGAAAATCTCACAAGTGTTTATACTCTACTCATAGGTTGTCATTCACTGCATTAACATGGGACATATTTTTTCAACATTCATGAGAATTAAAATGACATTGCAGCTTTCACTTACATCTACCTACAATACTTTTACTTCATACATATGATAACTTTCCATATATTGCTTACAGTGTGAGGTTCATTTCAAGCAAAACTCTTTTTCCATGAATGAAGTAAAGGTCAAACAGCCTTCTATTACTCTGGCTTAGGATACAGTTTCTGACATAAAAAAAAAAAATCAACAAATGTCTACCATGCACCAAAACATCAAATCTTATTTGAAATATTGGGAAAATAAGTAAATAAGAATAATAAACAGAAACACGCTGTGATCATCAAGGTCCCATTTAAAAATCAATCTACTCCAATTACCAAGCTGCTGAAGCCATGCATTTATTACATGGATATTCAATTGGCTTCTTCCACTCCCTAGGTACTCTCTTTCTCTCTCTGATGAACATAAGCTTGAGAGTAAGACTGACTCTCGCACACTGAGACACATACCCACAAAAGTGCTGCCGGAATCCCCTTGCCAGAGAAGCGAGAGAGCCAAAATCAGTTTCAAAATAGGTCTCATTTGACACCAAGTCACACCAATGATTCTGCAATATTCTCCACCATGTCTAACTTTAAATTGACAATCAATATAAGTACAAAGTATATAGGTCATGCGAGAGGAACTACAACACTTTGGCTGATGGCTCCATACTCTTATCAATAATACACTAAATGCCTCGTAACTGGAATATTTAGACTGGTACTATTGTGTGAATTTATGTGATCTGCTATCAACTAGCGTGTTCATAACCATATATCTATGAAATTGGCATTGTCCCTCGTTTTGTTTGACATCTCTGGACTTCACAAACGAAACAAATACAGATCTGTATTTTTTACTTAAGGCAACATATATACTTAATAAAAAAATCTATCCCTAAAGGGGGGGGGGATCCTGTCATGAAAGGCTGTGTGATTTATATTTGCAACTCAACATTTACAAATTTCCTTTAGCTCTATGTTTAATCTGAAGATGTGTTATGATTATATACAAAACCCAAGCATCATTATTTGGTAGAACACTGGTACCACGAGTCTAAAGTAAGCAAACAGACTACACCAACATACTCTCCACCGAGGGGTGATTCACACAGCAGAAGACAGGAAGATCCTAACTTTACCCATGGCAAACTACCCGTGTGAAGAATGGCCAGTTATCCTTCGGAAATTATGGAGGGATGTGTTACGTATAGTCGCTGTCAATTCCATAATACCGGAACAGGATGTGGTAGTGGTGGTGGAGGTAGTGGAAGTGCCAGTGGCAGCAGTACGAAATGTGCAGTGTCCAGGGTGTGACAGACATGGTAGTAGTGCGGTAATATTTTTGTGAGATTCGCTTGCCACACGTGGGACTCCTTCACACGGGAAGACAGTTGTGCAGTATACAGGAAGACTTCATTAACATTTGATTGATTACACTGCCAGATCTTTTTTTCATGTGTCTCATGTATAAATTTTATATAATTCACTTCTGCATAATGGCAAAATCCCTTCTCATAATTTTAGACAAAAAGTTTGTCATACACACCCCACGCATGTGCGCACAAACACGCACAAACACACACACACACACACACACACACACACACGCACACACGCACACACGCACGCACGCACGCACACGCGCGCACACACACACACACACACACACACACACACACACACACACACACACACACACACACACACACACACACACACGCACACACACAAGCACACACACGCACGCACGCACGCACACACTCACACACACACACACACACACACACACACACACACACACACACACACACACACACACACACACACACACACACACACACACACGCTTAGCACACACACACACACACACACACACACACACACACACACACACACACACACACACACACACACACACACACACACACACACACACACATTAAAAGTTCATATATGTAGAATAAATATATGTAATTATTCGTGTAAAAGTATATTTGTGAGACTTGGGCTTCAGTGTCTTAAAAAGAGTTGGACTTTCGCAATCGAAAACGATCCAAGCCAGCTAAGCAAATCCTAGCTAATTTAAGTGAACAGTAAAACAAGGAATGAGAATGCAGCTAATAAAATGACAGCGTGTTTGCAAAGATTTCGTTTATGGAATTATATGACTAGGCTCATTTGCAAATTTGCGATTCATCAGTCATTCTCCAAAGTCTGAAGCGTATCATTTATTAGAGCTTTTATAATCATCAGCCATGACTGAAAAAAATGGAACGGGAAACAGCAGAGAATTTAGCTCATGACCTTCCAAGAAAGCCATGCATAGTTTAATGACAGTATGACATGATACAGGTCTCCAGCACAAACCAAAAACGGCTCTATCGCAATGCGGAAGAGAGAACATATTCATAAGTGCGGAATAAACATTAGTCCATCCAACCGAGCTCTATGAAGGCATCATGGAGCTTCATTTGTGTCTCTGGATGACTTCCTGTACATACAATATAGCCTTTTCTGCACTTAGACATTTCCATACGTCTGGAAATCTTGAAGTAATTACAGCATTAAAAAACGATAATGAAAAAATAGGAAACAATACACTTCACTGCTTACTTATATACTGCAATATTCACATGGAAAATTCACATAAATCAACATTGGTTATTAACATTTAAGAAACGTCTAGGATCTGAGTTACAAGCAGTTAGAGAACGGTCTACAAGTGACTCCAAAAGAGAGAAATCAAGGCTGGAAGACTGAGACGAAATGGAACAACTCTTACCTTGCTCTGATTGTAAATCTTTGGTGCACGGCAAACACAAGAAAGGTACCATTAATATTAGATTAATATTCGAGTACTGTTTGAATATTAATAAAGATCATAAGAAATATTAATAAAGCTTATCTTTCAAATATGGAGAAAAAAGCAAGTAAATCTCTGGCGATCTACATGCCTAGAGGTTACACGTATTATAACAAAATGCAAATTCTATCCTTAGTATTGCTGGCTGGTGTTCTTAGTGTTACTTAGGTCCTTGCATATTTTTGTGGTCAATCACCGGTATTGAAATAAAACCCAAAAAAGGTAAATGATTTGCATGATATTGGTGCGTTTGGGTAAACTGTGCATGGCTATTTTTTTTTTAAATTATCTTGAGATAATCTATGAAATATTTCATATGATAAATATGATTTTAAAAATCTTTTATGACTATGGCCACATTTTCATCATCTACCTTTAGAATTTTCAATTCATTACAATTTTCATCTAATCTATTCAAAGATTGGATTCAGTTCATCAGCTGACTCAAATAGTAATATCAATTGCTTTGACTTTACAGCACTAAATACTCTTAAGTAATTGGACACATACTTCTATGCAATAAAAGGCCTAATCCTTAACTGCATATAATAAAAATGACAAATATGATGATACATTATACATGTTACATAATGTGTCTGTGTCCACTCCAACCAATCTGGTGTGATAAGTGCTTCGCATGATTATTCACAAAATCCCTGGATGCAACTGATTAGCAAACACACCTTCTCAAAATCATCTCATTTCTCTTTCCCGTTTCTTCACAGGTCAAAGATTCATCCATCTTGCCTCCTTCCCCTGTCTCTTGGACTTTGACCCTCAGGCCTCCTATCTCCTCTGCTTGCAAAAGCAATGAGGAGTCCTAAGTTAAGCATCGTACATGGAAGTTAACACTAAACTTTTGTGGTTTACAAGCTTGATATGCAAAAAAAAATCATAAAAAAATAAGAAAAAAAGTAAGAAATGAAACAACTGCCCTGAACTTTGTTTATGCCTCTACAGGAAACATAGATATACACTATTACAAATTCAATCACACTACTGTACACTGCTGAAATGAACAGACTTTCTCTTTTATTTAAGCTATACTGAGTATATAGTTAAGAAATAATGTATTAAATGTCATTCATCTTTGCCCAATGCATTTGTGTAAGTGCTCAGGTAAAGCCAAGGGTTTAGCTTATCTTTTTTAGCATAAATAAATTTTCAGTCTACAAAGATTTACTGTTTGATTCTAATATAATAATAATAATGAGTATTCAATTCGTTATCAGCAGTATATAAAAAAATAAGAAAAAAAGTAAGAAATGAAACAACTGCCCTGAACTTTGTTTATGCCTCTACAGGAAACATAGATATACACTATTACAAATTCAATCACACTACTGTACACTGCTGAAATGAACCCACTTTCTCTTTTATTTAAGCTATACTGAGTATATAGTTAA